TATTCAGGCCTGCTAATTAGCCACTCAGTCCCAAACACTGTCATGTGGGGAAGATCATATGCTCCCCTGTACCCAGAAGCCCTGGTGGTAAGGGAGCGCAGGTGGATGATTATACTTTACTAGGGGGTAAGATAGGTGGCACTGGTTTTGAGGATCAGGTAAGTATAACTCTATTTTTGGTCTTGATACAATTGCTGCAACACAGCTTTCTTCCAATATTGTATTCACATATACAAAAAAACATAAAAAGACAGACTCTGTGTTCTTTCAGCCTTGCTTTATTTGAAGCACAGTCACAGCATTGTCATAGTCTAGTCTAAATTGAAGGCCCCTGAATGTTTACAGTATTACAAAGGTTGAGGGTCACAACCACATGTCACAGAAGTACTGAAATAAATTAAGCATTTTATGTAGCTCCCGCTGCAGGAGGCTTCAGCATAGTGCATGGCATAATGATGTAACCTCCTCCAGCAGCCTATGAGTTAACTACACTTTTTTTTTTTTTCTTTCTAAAATTCTCAAAAATGTACAAATTTTAAACGCAGGTTAAAAAGGATTTAGAAGTCCTAATATATACAAATAATATAAAAACTACACAAGACATCAAAATATGCTATAAAATAGTACAAAAGAAACTCAGTCTGTCCAAATTGTAAAATGCATTTTTCCACGTGTAAAAACTGTTAAGAAATTGTACAGGCATATTGCTTTTAAAACTAAAAAGAAATCAAAACTATTCTTTGGTAACCAAAATTTAGCATTTTTAGATAAGGAAAAAAACCATTGGCATTAATTTTTGTTTTATTTAGTTGTCTTTTATGTTAGCATATTAAAATGAATGTCAAGCATTAAAGTTTATGGTTACGCAAACATCTCTGTAGTGCAAGTACACAGTCTGAGTAAGGAAACAAGTGGAAAACATAGTGTTTATTAACAAAAACCCCAGATTGTAACTACATGGACCAGCAACGCAACAGAGTGCACTGCAGGTCATTGCAGCATCATGTGGGGTCCTGTACATTTCCAGTTTTGTTGTTGTAGCAATCATTCTGCAATGTATATTTGCATTTAAAAAAAAAAAATCATTTTGTTTTCTGAGTTTTATGAGGTGGCAATATGTTTATATGGCTGATTATATAATCAATGCTGCATTTTTTTCTACATAAGTAAACCCTAGGCTTGTACCGCTGCACAGCAGCTGAAAATACTCGAGAGGTGACTCAACTGCGATATTAAGAGAAAAGAAAAGTAAACCCGGAAAAGAAAAACAGTACCAAAGAAATCACAAACCAGCAATTTGATTGGGTTAGTTTGACAAGCCCACTAATTGTACTCAGTGTAATATGTCCAGAGGAAGTCATGCCAGCAGTGCATCTATGACCCATTATACCCTGTTTAGTAGATGTCACTATGATTTATAAACCTAAATATAAATAGCATATCCAACCCATTACCTCATGCCTGGATGCATGTTCTTGGCAGCTGTTTCCTTGAGGTGTGTTTATAAGCTCCAATGCAGGCATTGGGGTTCTAGATCTCTTTCCCAACTTTGGTTTCACCGCTCTGTCTTGCAGGTGCTGCATACTAAGTCAATCCCACTAAATGCCTACTCACAGAAGCTGCAATGTTAAAGCATTTACTATACAGACACCAAGTGCATGGCAATGTGCAACATTGCTTTTGCGATCATAGCATTCTCTCTGCTTTCTAGGGATGTGCTTGATACATTTCATGACACACCACCCCTTAGCACCCCCCAGCTATTTTCTTATGAAGAATCATTGTCTTTGCTTGGGCTGACATCTGAAAATCTACTCATCAAGTCTATGTGAACTCTGGGCTGGAAACTGTCAGCACCAACAGAGTCATTCAGCTCAAAGTTAGTTCTTTGACACCTGTCCAAGCTCATTGTGCTCATAAGTGGAGCCTTTGTACAGCGATTTTCTACTGCATCAGCCATCTCTCCTTCCCATTCACAAATCACTGTCATGGGACTGCTCTGAAGGCGGCTTCGGACATTGTATTTACTGCTGGCTGCAGACGGTGGCGTTCTGGAGCGGCTGTACCTAGTCCCAGAAACTGACATGCTTCTTGGCATTATTCCCTCACTCTTTGCCCATTCCTCCTGTGCCCTTTTATTCTTGCTGGGGGAATTCAACGTTGGACTGTCTGGCTGCTCGACTGATGAATCCGATTGCGATCTTTGAAACCTTGGGTCAGTGTGCTTCAGCATTTCCGCAGCAGACATGCGAGATCCACACTCCGACCTGCTTCCTTTTTTCAGTAACAGAGCTTTGAAATTATCATTGCTGGTATTAGTCTTCCGGATACTCCTTTGGATTGCTCCAGGCTGCTTAAAGGAGCTCACATTTGGGACTCCTCCGGTTGGTGTGACTGGTGGTGAAGGTGAGTGATTTCTACCACGATCATCATCAGAATCCTTACGACCAAGAACCTTCCTTTTGGATCTAAAAGTAAAAAAAGAAAACAAAATATTGAATGGCCGCAACAGAAAAATTATTTACTACGGGCTACATTATCTGTAAGTCATCACGAGCATTATATTGTTTTCAATGTTGAAAGTGCAGTTCAGTTTAGAAAGGTTATTTTTTTATTTCCAACTATATCTACAAATGTTTCTGCCATTTCGTAATGTATGAATTCCAGGTTCCTGATACAGTGCAATAAATGGATTACTGTGAGCAGATCAGAGCACAGGAAAGCTAGACAGAAAAGATGGGTCCCTCTCCACCCTAATCTGTGGATCCGCATATGTTATAAACTATGCATTCATTTCATACAAATGTAATCTGTTCATGGAGAGTAACCAGTAGAGTTTCACAGAATCCCAATCCCATGTGATATTGCTGGTTCATCAAAGGTCACTCCTGTCTTCATTACCAGATTCATGTATCAAATGTCTGAATAAAAATGGTTTCTGCTGCCCATAAAAATCAAATGTCTGCTGCTAAAATTGTATTGCAAATATTTCAGAGAAAGGATTCAGATGGATTTCTCATTTATATTTAGTCAATTTTATATGTTACAGTATTGTTGTAGTTCCTGTATGTTCTCAATTTGCACAGCACTAGACTTGCAGAACAGCTAATTGTCAGGCAACCTTCCACCACTAGATGGAGCTAAACTATACTCAGACAAATGCAAAAGTGGCTTTTTTTTCTGGGCCAGGAAAAGCATTTTTATTACAAGGCCAATAAAAACCATAAACATTCTATATTAATCCATGAGCTTATGAGCTTAGTTATCAAGTCAATGGATTGTAAAATACATCAACTTCTGTCAAAGTTAATGCATGACATTTCAGCTCTACTTATACAGCCTTAAAGTATACACACACTCGTGTCTCCTCCACCTGCTATTCTGCATTAAACCATATTTTCCTTTGACACAAAGAAATGCTGGGTCATGCATGTGAAATGATAAGCTCTGGTCACAGATTTTTCGGACCTTATAGTTGATGGATCTTTACAGAAAACCTGCCATGAAACAATATAGGGGATGCTGCTGTTGACATCTATGGAAATTCTAGTTTCCTGGCTGTTGTGATGACCTTCTTCCTTAAATGTCTTTTAAAGCCATACTCCAAAGGAAATGTTTCTTAACCCTTGCAGTGGGGCCACCCCAGCACTGCAAGGGTTAGGTTCTTGTGTTTTTTTTTAGGTAAAAAAATAAAAGTTATACTCACTTGATCCACGGAGCCGGCCAGCTGTCACAGCTCTCTCTCCAGCCTGTCTTTTCCTCTGCTGCAGCCATGGTATGTATCTCGGTGTCCTCATGTCCTATACACTGTGTATAGAACGTGGTGACTCAGGGACCTTAGATCACTGCAGTGAAGAGGGAGAGGCTCCAGGGACTAGTCTAAGAGCAAGCCGACTCAGAGGATCATGTGAATATAACCTTTTTTTTTTTTTAAACCTAGACAATAACGAGCACTGAACCCCTGCAGTGCGGGGGTAGCTCCCCTGCAAGGATTAAAAGAGAACTATGGGGTCAGGGCTTTTCCCCATAGTTCTCCTAAGGGTCACGGGAGAACACAAAGTAGCTTTCTACCGTGACCCAAAGCTCAGTATACCGCAAGCTACAGCTCGCGGTATACTGAGACGCTGCAGCCGGAACGGATCCCGACATTGCTGTCGAGATGCACACAGCTACAGGATTGACAGCTGGCTCTGCCTAACCAGAGGCAGAGCCAGCTGTGCCCGCCCCCTCCCCCATCCGTTTTGCCAGTCAGCGCTGGAGGATCGGACAGTGGAGGGGGGAATCCCTGCACGGAGCCGTGAGTGACAGTCACGGCTCTCTGCAGGGATAGACCGAGAAGTGAGCGAGCGACGGTATGTGTTCGCTCACTTCCCGATCTATTGAGCTGAACTGTGACAGTTTCATTGTCACAGGTCGGCACAGATTATGAGGCTGAGTGATTTTCACTCGCCTCATAATTCTCCTTTAAGAAACATTTTACCAGGAGTTCTGCTTTAAATCACTGACTGGAACACCTATACAGATCAGAAGTCCTGATTTCACTTGCTGCATGCTTATTCAAGGTCTTTGAGCCACTCAAGCAACTAGGATTTTCAAAAGGAGGTGAGCTATTGCCTATGTATTTCTCTTTTGAGATAGGCACTTTACTAACAGTAGGACCCTCATATTACTCTTTCTCCTACTGAACAGTATAGCTGATTACTAATCATTATTATTCAATTTATGCTAAAGAAAGCAAGATTCCAGAGGGGATTAAGGGCCCGATGCATAAAAAAAGGGCGTAAATTCAGAGGTACTCTCGCTGTAATTATCACTTAACATCACAGGGTAAGGAGTGCTTAATTCATTAAAAATTGTGAAAGAAATAATCATATGCAGTGTTAAGAAATGATTACAAGCTATACTTAAATCTCACCTACATATACAGTCAATTTTCTGCAAGTGTCAATCTCAACAGAACTTGCCTTAAGCGTTGCTGAGCGGTTCAAGGCTGATCCAATGTTCTTACAACATTACCAGTGAATTTTTAATAAAATTGTGTACAGTAGTCTGCAGCTTCTGGTGAATTGGTAATTATGCTTTGCTAATATATTATTTCATTTGATTGATGCTCAGAACCTTAGAAACTCTACTGAATAATATATAT